AGAAAAATCCAAATTTCGTCTTCTTCCCTCTTCTTCTTTCTCTTATTCCCGTGAGCCCTCTCTCTAAATTTTTTTTCGTGAGAAAATTGTGGAAGGGGGTTTAAAGAGGGAGAAAAAGTAATTAGGGAACAAAGTGAGTGATTTGTGGGAGAGAATAAAAAGAAATTAGGGGAAAAAGTGAGTGATTTGTGGGAGATAATTAGGAAGAGGGATTTTAGGGAGATATTTGACTTAGTGGGGAGATTTTTTTTAAAAAAAATATATCTTTCCCTCAAATTCTTTCATGCGAAAGAAGAAACAAAAATCAAAGGAAAAGATAGAGTTGGGCCTTCAAAACACTCATGGGCCTTGCATAATTTTGTTTATTTATTTATTTATTTTTTTAATTCAAAAATAGATGGGCCTCCTATATAATTGATTAGTATAAGGAAAATTAGATTATTACATCCTACCCACCTAAGAAAAATAAAATTCCGTCCTCAGAATTTATTCGACCATAATAAGAACTAAAACTCACCTGTGACAAAGAGATGTGGATAGCGTTGACGAATATCGTCCTCTCACTCCCAAGTCGCCTCACCAGGCCCATGATGTCCGCACGATACTAATACAAGCGGAATAGTTCTGTTCTTGAGGACCTTCTCCTGTCTGTCCAAAATCTTCATAGGTCGCTCCTCATATTATAAGTTCGTCCCAATCTGAAGCTCTACCATGTCTAGGATGTGAGTCTCATCTCGTACATATCGTCGAAGCTGTGATACGTGGAACACATTATGCACTCCCTCCAACGACGGAGGTAAAGCTAGTCGGTATGCCACCTCTCCTACTCTCTCCAATATCTCAAAAGGACCAATGAAACGTGGACTAAGCTTCCCACGGCTGCCAAATCTGATAACTCCTCTGGTTGGGGATATCCTTAAGAAAACATGCTCTCCAACTTGAAACTGTAGAGGTCTCCTCTTAGCATCAGCCTAACTCTTCTGCCTATCTTGAGCTGACTTAAGGCGCTATCGTATTGCCTTTATCTTGTCTATTGTCTGCACTATCATCTCAGGACCTAGCAGACGCCGCTCCCCCATGTCATCCCAACAAGTAGGAGATCTACATTTTCTCCCATATAATGCCTCATAAGGTGCCATCTGGATCTGGCCTGATAACTGTTATTATAAGAAAACTCCACCAAGTGTAAGTAGTCTTCCCAAGAGCCCTTGAAATCTAGCATGCATGCCCGCAACATGTCCTCCAGAATCTGTATGGTCCTCTCTGATTGTCCATCTGTCTGAGGGTGATAAGCCGTGTTGTAACATAGTCTAGTCCCAAGACACTGTTGCAAGCTCTTCCAAAAGTGTGATAAAAATCGGGTGTCTCGATCAGAAACAATGCTAACTGGTACCCCATGCAAGCGTACTATCTCCCTCATGTACAACTCCGCTAAACTCTCTGTCATCTGTCCAACTCGAAATGGTATAAAACAAGCTGATTTTGTGAGCCGGTCTACTACTACCCATACGGTGTTGTTTCCCTTCTGGCTCGTCGGTAAAGCTGTGACAAAGTTCATCGTAACATGTTCCCACTTCCACTCAGGAATAGGAAGGGACTGTAAAAACCCAGCTGTCCTCTGATGCTCAGCCTTCACCTGCTGACATATTAGGCATTTTGACATAAATCGGGCTATCTCCATCTTCATTCCTGGCCACCAGTAGTGTTCTCTCAAGTCCCGATACATCTTTGTTCCTCCTGGATGAATAGAAAGCACTGAACTGTGCATCTTCTCTAACAGCTCTCTTCTAACATCGCCCTTAGGCACACATAACCTACCTCAAAATCACAAGGATCCATCCTCATGTATTTGTAGATCGGTTCTCTCCCCAGACTCCACCTGTTTCTTAAATTTTTTATATCGAGCATCCTCAAGCTGGGCAGCCTTGATCCGGTCCACCAAGGTTGACTGTAACTACAAACTCATCAACTGTCTCTCTACTCCAGGTAATATAACCTCCATGTTCATCCTCCAAAACTCAGCTAGCAACTCCCGCTGTCTGGTGAGTCTCATCGCCATAGGCTTCCTGCTCAAATGATCTGGCACTACATTAACCCGTCCTGGGTGATATTGTAAATCAAGATCATAATCCGCCATAAGCTCTAACCACCTACGTTGCCTCATGTTGAGCTCTTTCTGGGTGAAGATATACTTTAAACTTTTGTGATCTGTGTACACCTCCACTCTCTGCCCTAAAAGATAGTGTCGTCATAGCTTCAATGCAAAAATAACCGCCGCCAATTCCAGATAATGAACTTGGTAATTCCTCTCATGCGTCTTTAGTGTCTAGACGCATAAGCTACTACCTTTCCTTGTTGCATCAAAACACAACCTAAACCCAAAACAGAAGCATCTGTGTGCACTACAAATCCTCCTGACTCATCCAGGATTGTCAAAACAGGTGCTGACGTCAACTTCTTCTTTAACTCCTCAAATGCTGCTTGACACTCCGGAGCCCACACAAACTTGACCTCCTTCTGAGTCAGTCTAGTAAGTGGTCCTGCAATCTTAACGAAATCCTTTATGAATTTCCTATAGTATCTAGCCATCCCCAAGAAACTTCATACTTCTATCACAGATGTAGGTGGATCCAATCTCAATACCGCATCAACCTTCTTCGGGTCCACAGAGATACCTGCTCCTGAAATTACGTGCCCTAGAAAAGACACTTGCTCCAGCCAAAACTCACACTTGTTTAATTTTCCATAAAGCTTCTCCTTCTGTAGGATTTGCAACACTATCCGTAGATGCTCTGCATGGTCTTCCTTGGTCTTGGAGTACACAAGAATGTCATCGATGAATACCACAACAAATTGGTCAAGATACTGGGAAAACACCTTGTTCATCAAGCTCATAAATATAGATGGAGCATTTGTCACTCCGAATGGCATCACCAAAAACTCATAGTGCCCGTACCGTGTTCGGAATACGGTCTTGGGTATGTCTTCCTTCCTCACCTTTAGCTGATGATAACCTGACCTGAGGTCCAGCTTAGAAAATACCCTAGCTCCTCCAAGCTGATCGAAAAGATCATCAATCCTGGGGTGACCTGAGGTCCAGCTTAGAAAATACCCTAGCTCCTCCAAGCTGATCGAAAAGATCATCAATCCTGGGGATTGGGTATTTGTTTTTGATGGTAACCCGATTCAATTCCCTGTAGTCAATACACATCTGCTTGCTACCATCTGGCTTTGGCACTAACACCATTGGTGCTCCCCAAAGTGAAGTACTAAGCCTGATAAATTTCTTATCAAGATACTCCTATACTTGCTTCCGCAACTCCTCTAAATCTGCTATTGGCATCTGATAGGGTAGTTTTGAAATAGGTGCAACCCTTGGAATAAGATCAATGACGAACTCTATATCTCTATCTGGTGGTAGACCCGGCAACTCATCAGGAAAAACATGAAGGAATTCCTCGACAATTTCTGGTATAGGCTTCTCCTCTACCTCTATACAGGTTAATACTCCATCCATGCTGGCTCGATGCTCTGGCTGCTCCATCACTTTGCTTCCGCTCATGAATTCAAACTCTGGGTGACCTGGTATCTTGAACACAACGCTTCGATGTCGGCAGTCGATCATCGCATGGAAGATGTAGAGCCAATCCATCCCCAAAATGACATCGAACCCGTTAGTGTCAATCACCAACAAGTCTACAACTAGCTCCCTACCACAAACTACCAATGGGCATCTCTTACACTCCCTACTAGATATTAACACCCCACTACCGGTATGTATACTCCAGCTTGCATCTAAACTATCACAGGGTATGGTGTGTCGTGCAACGAACTGAGTAGATATAAAACAGTGTGATGCCCCAGAATCAAATAGGGTAAATGCATGGACTGAATAAACCAAAATAATACCTGTAACTACATCACCAAATGCCTCTGCCTGCTCAGCGGTAAGTGTCATAACCCGACCCTGTCTCTGCTGTAGTTGAGTTTGCTGACCATATTGTCCTGGGCGTCCCTGCTGATACTGTGGCTAATATGATTGCTGGAAATGAGGACCTCTCCACTGTCTCTGGCCTTGAAATTACTGACCCCTCTGATGTCCTTGAAACATCTGCTGCTGCGTGGGAAGTGGTGGCCTCAACTGTTGCCCACCCGGTCTAACCTGCCTTGCTGGCACTATCGCTCCGCCTGAATATCCTCCTAAAACTCCTTTACTGGGACAAGTGGAAAGCTGATGATCTGCCACCCCACATGCTGGGCACAACCCGTTAGCTCTCCTGCAGTCCTTCATTAAGTGCCCCGGCTTGCTGTAGAAATGACAAATCATGTTGGTTGGTTGTGGAGCTGGTCTTGGAGTCCATATCTGCTGGCGCTTGGCTGGTGCTCCTCCGGTTTGAGGCTTCTGCTGGTTACCTCCCGAGTTCTGTCCTACAGGGTGCTTGTTTGCCCCTCTCTTCACTGAGTTCATGATCCCAATCAGCTGTTCTGCTTTCCGAGCTGCCTCTAGGACATCCGTAAAGTATCAACCCCCTTCTGACTATAAATCTGAGTCTGGATCTCAAAATTTAGACCTGCATGAACCTTTGTCCCTTATCCACCTCATTGGACACCATCCTAGGGGCAAACCTACTGAGCTTGGCAAACTCTGTTGCATACCCATCTACAGTACTGGCTCTCTGTCTCAGCATAACAAATTGTCTCTGCATCTCAAGACGAGCTGTCTTTAGGAAAAATGCCTCTAGGAAACTCTACCGAAATGTCTCCCATGAAACTGGCTTTGGCAGCTTCTCCTCCTCTGCATCCCACCATGTTCTAGCTATATTACTAAGTTGCAGCTACACAATATCGACTCGGTCTTCATTTGGTATCTTAGCTGCCCTCAATAGGCGATCCATGGTTTGCAACCACATCTCGGCCTCATATCCACCTTCAGTCCCAGCAAAGTGTTGTGGGTTAAGCTTCCGAAAATCGGACACATTACCCGGCCTTACAACCTGTCGCTACTCGTCCCTTTGGCGATTTTGAGCTTCCAGCTCCCTAATCGCTTCTGCAAGATCAGCCTGATCGACTTGGTGTCCTGCAGGGACAACTGGAGCGGCGGGTTGACGGGTTGGGGCCATAGAGATCACCTAAAAAAAGAGGGGTCGAGTTTAGGACTGGAGAATCACGGAAAATGGGAGTCAGGGGATGTATTTCTGAAAAGAAAAGGACGCATTCTATACATGCTCTATTTTTGTCTCAATCTTAGCTTCTAGGTGTATACAGGACGAGACAACAATTCCTAAACATGGCTCTGATACCAATAAAAACCTTGTCACGCCCCGGTTCCAAAATGTAATAGTTCGGAGCGTGACTCGATCGGCAATACAACCATACGGTCGCATTCACGCCTCTAGATCATCCTGTATACAAATAAAGCCAAAACTATACCAAAGAGCATGTAACCAAGATAATAAAAAAATGTATAGATAAAGAAATATCGGAAAATTTCCATAGTTCTATGACAAGTCCACAAATCTCTAAAGAGAAAGGAAAAAAATACACCATAGTCTGGAGAGCCAACTGGGGCTAAAGAAAAACCTAAACCAAATAACTACCTAAAACAACTGAACTGGAGAACTGATAGAAGGAACGGTGATCACTACAGCTGAGCTTGCTCTTCGAAATACTCTCGGTCCTGCAAAGAAAGAACAGTTCCCGAATCTGGGGCATACAAACCCCAGGGGAGTCAGGAAACTCCCAATAAGCATGTAAAATGAAGGAATAGTGCACGTGTAACTGTAAATGGCATATAAAGGAAAAATAAATTATAAATAAACAGTGATAAAAGAAATTTACAAACCATAGAGATCAACAATGTCTATTATCAAACACACAAGCAGATTTATTATTATTTTAAAAGTTATTTGAATTAGAGAAGAATATTTTCATGTATATAAATCGGTTTCCCGTAAACCGTCCCGGGAACACGGCTTCAAGTCAAATATATATATATATATATATATATATATATATATATATATATAACTCAGGATATCAGGATGCGCATAGGCCCGTTTATATACATGTTATATTCTCCTTCTAATTCCCCTTTATAAACCCCATGTTGTCGATTAAATTTTTAGTGACTGTGCATAAAATGTTATGCACTAACCACAGAGTTAGCGTGGAACGACTTCTGTAAAACTATGAAATAACCGTGACCCAGAACATGTCTAATCAAAAGGGGTGCATCGTCTAGTCGATGCTATAGTAATAATAGTAATAATCAAGGAAAACTCCTCACATCGGGATATCGATGTCGAGGGTATAGCCATGCTATGATAATACGTTTATAAATCATAGTTCTTGACGGAAAACGTCTTCATGTACAGTCAACCCTATCAAATATCACTAGGTGATTAAACATAGCATCCAGTGATCCAATAAGCATCAAGAAATCAAACAATATCCTAATTAACTTTAATAAAAAGAAAATAAGTAATTAGCATAATTATTTAGTGTCAAAGCGGCCAAACTGATTTTTATTTGGCCATAGAAAAGTACAAAAACTGATTTTTGTTTTATGAGAAAAAAAACCTAAACGGGTCTGAAATATGATAACGGGTTTGAAATATGATAACGGGTCTGAAATTGGGTTTGAACTGGTTAAAAGGGTCTGAAAAAATAATAAATATGATAACGGGTCTGAAATTTGATAATGGGTCTGAAATTGGGTTTGAACTGGTTAAACAGGACTGAAAAAAATGATAAATATGATAACGGGTCTGAAATATGATAACAGGTCTGAAATTTGGTTTGAACTGGTTAAACGAGTCTGAAAAAATTGATAAATATGATAACGGGTCTGAAATTTGATAACGGGTCTGAAATTGGGTTTGAAGAGTTGTAGACCCAACTGGGTCGGGTACAAGTTAAAACGACCCAAAACACATTAATTTATGAAATCATGAAGACTCCTAGGATTCGAACTAGAGACCCTTGTCTCATTGTCCAATGCAACTAACCACTACAACCATTTAAATTTCTATGCCATATATGATTCAGAAAATCTATATTCTATATCAATGATCGGTTCTGTACTCATAAAGTTTTATTTATTTACAGCTCATGCCATCAAACTAAATCATGTATACTTACAGCGTGTTGATAACTTACACATATTAAAATTCATAGAAATATATATATATAATCGAGTGGAAAATAATGTTTGCATGAAAAAAAATCAAAATAATAATAATCTAAAAGTAATAATATTTGAGGAAAAGAATGTTTGCCGATTTGTCGAAGAAAAGACTATGAACCCCAAAAGAAAAATCCAAATTTCGTCTCCTTCCCTCTTCTTCTTTCTCTTATTCCCATGAGCCCTCTCTCTAATTTTTTTTTTGTTTTCGTGAGAAAATTGTGGAAGGGGGTTTAAAGAGGGAAAAAAAGTAATTAGGGAACAAAGTGAGTGATTTGTGGGAGAGAATAAAAAGAAATTAGGGGACAAAGTGAGTGATTTGTGGGAGATAATTAGGGAGAGGGATTTTAGGGAGATATTTGACTTAGTGGGGAGATTTTTTCAAAAAAAAAAAATCTTTCCCTCAAATTCTTTCACGTGAAAGAAGAAACAAAAATCAAAGGAAAAGATAGAGTTGGGCCTTCAAAACACTCATGTGCCTTACATAATTTTGTTTATTTATTTATTTATTTTTTTCAATTCAAAAACAGATGGGCCTCCTATATAATTGATTAGTATAAGAAAAATTGGATTATTACAATGAAAATATCTCTAAGTCTGAAATACATCTTAACACAATGAGTCAAATAAAATCTCACTAAGGCACTCAGCCTCTACAAAATAAATACAACTCTAAAGTCTGAACAATGAACATAAGTATACAGTGGAGCTTCAACTACTAAGACTGTGTGACGGCGACTATGCTAGAACTCCATCATCCTGCGGCTCTCTAAAACTCTAATCTACCTGAAAAATACAATTTAAATAAAAAGAACGACAACAAGAGCGTCAGAGCGCTACAGCAAGATCACCTCCATCCGCCCCTAGGGGAAGGGTTGCTAGATGAAGTGGAGGCTCTATCTATTAAACATAGTCTACCTATATTATTTTCCTCGTATCTAATGGAGTTAATATTCAGACACCTATAAGACGAGACGTAGTACATCGAGCGAAATAATCCAAACAAGAAAACCCTCATATATATACCATATGTCTCAAATTGTAGATCCCTAAATACCAATTCCAACTCTATGAATCAAAACAACACTCAAAAGAAATATTCCAAGCCTAAACCATATAAGACCAATGTCACAATCTCAAACTACTTCTCAAGTAGTTGGAACAATAATAAGAGAATATCATCCAACTCAAAAAAATCACCATAGACTATATCATGTATGCCACAAATCAAGGAATGTGCCCTACTCATGGGTAATCTAACATGGAACACTGCTGGATTTTATACTTTTAGCGACGGACAAATCTGTCGCTATAAGTCGATATTCCGTCGCTAAAACTTTTAGCGACGGAAAAAATCAAATTCCGTCGCTAAAAGTTCGACGCTATTACAGGGGTCCCTAAAAACACTTTTAGCGATGAACTTTCCGTCGCTAATTTTTAGCGACAGTTTATTAGCGACGGAAAAATGGTCGCTATTTTTAAAAAATAAAAAATTAAAAAAACATTAGCGACGGCTTGTCCGTAACTAATAAAACTTTAGCGACGGTTAATCCGTCGCTAATATTATATTAGCGACGTAACTTCCATCGCTAATATTATATTAGCGACGTAACTTCCGTCGCTAATATATTTTTAAATTAGTCAGATATGATTTCGTGCATGTTTTCCGTCGCTAAATAATCATTTAGTGACGGAATTTCCGTTGCTAAAATTGTATTTAGCAACGAAATTTCCGTCGCTAAAAATTTTAAAAAAGGAATTTAGAAAATATTTTGAAAATTGAAAAAATCCTGTACAATATCGATAATAATTTTTAAAAACCTGTTCAATCAGCATTATAATATTCAATATCACGCAAATATCACATCTCACGCATATATCACACATTTAATTCAATAAAAGCAAGTAAAAGTTTCTCGTCAGGTACATAATAAATATTGTTTATACAACACAAGAAATTGTTTTCAAAGTTATATTAAGGACAATCAATCCTCCTGATCATCCTCATCCTCAACACCAGCCGCATTATGACTACCCCCGGCTGCACCTTGTGAAGAAGTCCCGGCCTGTAAATATAAATCAAATTTTAACAAGTGTGTGTAACCGTTAATAAGAGTGAAAATATAAATATACTACAACACAACACCACAACATCACAACATAACAACACAACACCACAACACAACAACACACAACACTACATAACACAACACAACACTACACTGCACAACACATCACACCACAACACAACAACACCATCACAAATCCCCCAACTCCACCCACCAACCAACAACACTCCCCCTCGCCCTACCCCTCCCCCTCAACCACCACCACAACAAAATCCCCACTCCTCATCCTCAACCACGACCAAAGCCCCCCACCCACCAACCAATCATACTCTACACACCCCTGTATCGTTTGTGTGTAACACCCAATCCTCATTCCTCCCCCCCCCCAAACCAATCACATAACGACCACCATTACACAACACCACAGCCAACCAACCAACCAACCCACCAACCAATACCACCAACACTACGCATGCATACACCATCAACACCATCATCACATAAAAACATTATAAGTATATATTTTGAGGTTTGTGTTAGGGTTAGAGTTAGGGTTTGTGTGTAACAGTTTGTATCAGTGTGTATCAGTATGTACGATATCATCTAATTAAAAAAAGCAAAGTATATATATTACCTGTGACGACATAAACCATCTCCTATATGCCTCCTGAGCCTCCTGAGGCAGAGTCGACATGAATTGTGTGAACTCCAATACGGTCTGCTCCTGGCGCCTCCGTTCTTCCTCTGTAACCCACTGATATGTTGTTTGCTGCGATTGCCAATCTTCAATCACTTTTAATCGCTGCTCCATCAAGTCTTGATATGAACTGCTTCCTGGTGTTCCTTGTGGTGCTGCAGACTTGTAGGTGCTACTAGACTCGTGCGGCCTCTGCTCGGATCCTCTCCATCGGTATCTGTTCTTCCTACTAGGTCCAATGATCGTCTCGATGATGGAGTCCTCCTCCTCTCTACTTAGTCGGGTATGAGTGTTAGAACAGACCTGAGACTGAGTCAATTGCTCTTGTACCTTGGCATGTAATTTCTCCTGTGATATATCAAAACAACCCGGGCAAGTCGACTTACTCCTTGGCATGTAATTTCTCCTGTGATATATCAAAACAACCCGGGCAAGTCGACTTACTAATGATGCATTGATATGAAATTGAATATATAAATGAACTGCTACTTACAGCCAGATCCTTATTCTTTGCTTTCTTCTCTTCATCGGCGTAATTCGGGCTCCAGGGAGTTAGAATACGATCTACAAAATGTCTGAGATCTCCCCTTCCCTATTTTATTCAAATATATCATTAACCCATAACACATAAATTATACTCAACTTAAAAGCTAATATATTATATACCTCAAGCTCTAATTGATGATAATGCTGGCTGAAGGACCTGGAGCTCCCGTGATTCTCGTAACTGCGAGGCGCGTTGCGATTCCTCCTTGCTATTTCAGCTTGAGCCTGCAAAATAATGTCAAACTCGTAACTGCGAGGCGCGTTGCGATTCCTCCTTGCTATTTCAGCTTGAGCCTGCAAAATAATGTCAAATCGAAACAATATAGAAATTCAAACAATAAATTAAAAATATATACTTCAATAATACCTGAATTTTAGTCGTGTCCCAGTAATCGCAAAGTGTAAAAAAAAATCTACTCCATCCACACGCTCGTCAAGATGCCAGAATCGCTCCCAATCTTCTGTTATTTGAAGAAAATATTTTTTCTTTACCTCAAACCACCATCTCTTGAACGATAAATTGATTTTCCCGAAGCAGTACGTCCAGGCACAAATATTATTGTCAAGAAAGAAAAATCGCTTCAGTATATAAAGAAAAAATAGATACAAATCAGTGTATTAAACATAATAATAAACTAATAACTAATAATGATAAAAATTAAAATAAATTACTCACACATATATATCTCCAACAAACCACCAGCGCATCAATCCGCTGCGATTTCCACATCAAAAAAATGTTGAAGAAATCATGTCTCCTGGATAAAGCGGCAAGGAAATTGTTGAAAGCATTGGCAAAGGCCCCGAAAGGCACTCCGTTTTCCTATCGGATCACAGCCCTCCGATTAATATCAGGGATGAGGTTCATTTCCTTGGTAGCATTGCGGTCGCGTCTAGGAGGTCGCCCGGTACCTGCGAAACAAAGAATCGGATGAAACAATGAATCAATCTATATTTGCGAAAAAAATTTAAAATAATAACCGATAAACTATAAAACTTTATTCATACCTTTCAGTTCGAGGCATATATGCTTTGCTTGTTCGTACCTATACTGCGCGATAGGGCGCAAAGCATGATAAGAATCCCAATCCCCCTTCACCTTGGTCGGACCGTGGACTCGTTGATTCGTAATAGAATCTGGCGGTAGTGCCGCAGCTTCTAAAGCTGTGCTATACGGCTCAAATCTCCTCTCCTCCAATACATCTGCATGCGGTGGTAGTGGTATCTCCGCATGCTGTGTAGGATCAGCATGTGTCTCAACGTCATGTGGAGCATCTCTGCGTGATGTGTCCTGTGGTTGCGAGTCATGTGTAGCATCTCCTCCTCCTGTGTAGTAAATATTAAAAAAATGTTAGGCTCATGTTAATAGTTTATAGAAATGTATAGATATAACAAATAAATAAAAATACCTAACGTAGAGGCTTGTGCGTCGCCTCCAGAATGTCTACCAAATAGTCTCTCAAGCGCTTTCTTACGTAATCCTTTTGTCATCTATACTTTAAAAACATAATGAATATCCAACAAAAGTATATAATGCAAATAATTAATAAAATAGCACATGGCAACAGAATCGCGTGTACATGATGTCCAGTTAAACAGATAATACAAAGGCAATAATGTAATACATGACACACCATGATACATGATAACCAGTCAAACAGATAATATAAAGGTAATAATATAATACATGACACATCCACATGATAACCAGTCAACCAGATAATATAAAGGTAATAATATAATACATGACACATCGTGATACATGATAACCAGTCAAACAGATGATGTTGAGACTCTACTCTGTGATCATGTGCGGATAGCCTGCGACCGTGTGCGTGCCAACGAAAGGACTGTTCTTATAGTTTTATCGACTCCGTTGCGAACATGTTTTTTACCTTTACGCCTTGGCTTACATATAATCGCAGGTACATCAGGGCGCGCTAGTGCAATTTCATCGTCCATATTATTATTTTGTGTCAATGAAAACTCCTCGGCTATTTCGTCGGCCAAGATAACCTCCTCATCGTGATCTTCGTCAGACACGACTTCATGAATGTAGACTCTAGGCGGATTCTTAAGGATAACCCATTCGTCATTTTTCATTATATCTTTGACATAAAAGCACTGTTTGGCGTGAGCAGCTAACATGTATTTTTTAGACTGATATATTTCCTTGTTAAGATTAACGATTGTGTAACCGTAGTCATCCTTCGCCTTTTTCTGTTCACACCAACGAACCTTAAACATCACATGACTGACTTCCTTATTAATCCCATAGAAAATCTCCATGATGTCTTCTACCTGACCGTAGCAATAGATTTCCCCTTGTATTAGATTTAGATCTTTTGCACTAGCGTATGACAGTTGCGAGAAGGAGCAGAACACACCGTTGTTTTGCATTTGTCGTCTCTCTTCGAGACAGACGATGTTAAACCTAAAGCCGTTGACACAGTAGCCTCCATAATGCTTAACCACATTAGAAGGACCTCTGGCATATAAACAAACTTTCTCAGATAGGTTAATCTCATTCGTAATCCGTTTGTCAACCTTTAAGAAAAGAAGCAAATAGTTTACATATCTGTTGGCAGGCACATATATTTGATATACGAATCAGAAATGTAAAAAGATCTTACTTCACCCTTCAGCCATGCAGGGAATTGTCTAGAGTGTGTGTCCATAACTCTCTTATTTTTTGTTCTGCATTTAAGATTGGTCTGGACATGTCAGATGTGAAGCCTAGATAAGAAGCATTTATAACGGTTAAATAGAGATAATTATTGTGAGGTGATATAATCTGATTCAAACAGTTAAATACTTACGCCGCGTATATGTTAAATGTAGTATCGTTGCTCAGGATATATGTGTGGGCTTGATCTAGCTCTATTCTGGGGAATCTAGTGTCCTCCCCACGATCATTGTAGAATGTACCGTCAATTATTCGTTGGGGACGGTTTAGCCTTGTCTCCACTCCCCGCAAGTAACGAGAGATAAAATTCAAACTCTCGTTACTTATGTAGTTCTCTGCGATCGGCCCTTTACCCCGCAAGTAACGAGAGATAAAATTCAAACTCTCGTTACTTATGTAGTTCTCTGCGATCGGCCCTTTAGGACGTGCACAATTATGCATCAGTTGTTTCATGAAACCCAAATACCTACAAGCATATAGTTTCATGATTTGTGACAAAATGGAACTGAGAAACATAATTTGACAAATATTAAATGAATATTATAATAATAAATACCTCTCTACAGGGTACATTGTAGGCATATAAAATTGCTTATAGGTCCCTTAGCACAGCTCGGCACAAACCGACGAACCAACGAGGCGACGAGATCGACGAATCGCACGCAAGTAACGAAATACGTCCATTCGCGTGTGGGATCAAGCCAAGTGTTCGAAGAGTCAACGAATCATCCAACCAAGGGGAAACTCGGACGAATCACGATCGAATCAAGATCAATTTCGGACTCGAACTCAGAAGCGGATTTACTGCCAAATCAGGAATCCAATTTACTGCCAAATCAGATCATCAAATCAGAGTCTCAGGTCAACCGAAACACGGACAAACGAGACAACGGAAAACGACTCGAAAAAGTCGGAAAACACCGCCCGCGGGGGCTCGGCCAAAGCCGAGCCACCTCAAGGTGGCTCGGCCAAGGCCGAGCCACCTTGAGGTGGCTCGGTGGCTCGGTGGCCGAGCCACCTCGGGGTGGCTCGGCCAAGGTCGAGCCACCTCAAGGTGGCTCGGCCCAAGCGTCGGCCACCCCGAGGTGGCCGACAGTGGCCCGAGGTGGCCGACAGTGGCCAGAGGGGGCCGACATTTCCCTTTTTGCAGCCACTGTCCTGAGAGCCTATAAATAGGCCTAGAGATGTTCATTTTCAGAGGTGGAACTTTCAAGAGCCGAAACTCTGCCGGATTGAAGAGTGAACTCGGAGCTTGAAGACCAGAAGACTTGCACATTCAGATCTGATCCTCGGCGACCATCCACGTCAGAAAAGGCAGGATCTCGAGAGGAAGAAAGAACAGATCTGAGATCTACACGAGACTACACTCCAGATCTAAGCTTGGTCTTAGATCTCGAGATCTGAGCGATTATTCCCTTGGTGGATTAATCCCTCCCGGCTATTATTCCCTTCGTGGAATAATACCCGCATACTCGTGTAGATCCGACCGGATCTAGATCGCGCGGTGGTCCACGGATTAACCCCGGCGTTGGCAAAGAACCCACACAAGCAAGCAACCGCAAAACAGGAGCTTGCGATTTGTTCACAAGAGGAAAGTTGTAATTTTTATTTTTTTCTTTGATTTAGTTGTAACCGGATCTATAAAAGACCGGATCTTTGTAACCCAAGATGACAATCATATCAATGAAAAAGAAAACAGTTTTCCACGCGAACAATCTGGCGACCACAGTGGGAGCCGACGATCTCGCCAACGAGATCGATGCGTCGCAGCCGCGGATTGCAATCCCGGTCGTGGAGGAGGTCGAGTACGAGTTCGACCAAGCCAAGTTCGAGGAGTACGTGTCCTCGTCCGGCTCTATCTCCCCCCGCAAGTCCAAGAAGTTCTCCTCCGGGAGAAAAGCTCGTTGGTTTGAAGCTGCTCGGGAAGCCCACGAAGCTCTCAACCCAACTGACGCCGAAGTTGCGTCAAATGAAGTTCCACCGACCTCCAATCAGGTCAACCCAACTCCCGCCAACGCCTCTACTGTTCAGGGCGTTGTGACTCTCTCAAAGAGAGCCCGCCAGAGGCGTCGTCAACGCCTTGCGCGGCAATTCGCTAAGGCGATGGAGTCTACGGACGGATTCCGCTACCACGCGGAGTTGAAGAACAGAAGAGGCAAACAGCCTCAACCACCAATGAACGGCGACTCTTCCAAGCTGCCAAAGAAAGAATGGGTCCGCGTCAAACGGAACCGTTCAACGCTCGAAGAGCGCATTCGCAAGCGCCGGGCGATGTCAGCGCAGGCACGGGCTCAAGCTCAGGAAGCCCGTAGAAAGCTGCAAAAGGAGGTGGAGAAGAAGCCACCACCAACACGACAAGTCTGGAAGCCTAAGTCTGAAGTGGCGACTCAGGCCAAAAAGCAACCAGTGCAGCCTTCTAAGGAAGGTCAAACTCCGGCGAGTCAACCAAAGTCGCCGTCAATCCCAATAACTTCTCCGGGAGATCATGCAGAGTCATCCCGCAAGAAGAAACCAATTTTGGAGCGCCTCGGTCCAATTCCTGACGTGAGAGGCAAAGCTCCAATTCACGAGCGTTTGGGCCCGATGAAGAAGCCCAGAACGACTCAACATACTGGGGGTCGCCATCACCTCCAGCATGACAAAGACCTCAAGGCAGCTGCGCGCACCAATTTGCGCATTGAAGTCCAAGATCACGCCGAAAATTCACGCCCAAAAAGGCAGGTTTTGAGGCGGGTAACCTTTGAAAGCCCAAAGAAGGCAAGTCAACCTCAGATGGAAACATTATCATCTGATAATGATTGTGTTGTACCTGAGAAGGCGTGCCCGCACACGATAGGTTACTCTGACTGTCAAAATGACGAGTTGTACTATCGTGCTGGGGGTACGAATAGAACCAGGAAGAGGAGTCCCCGAGAACGGGAAATTCAATGTCCCTGTTCCAAACTCATTCGGGCGGTATTGTCGGAATGCAATTGCATTAAGGCGGTCCCCGAAAGAGTTTCAGTTTTTGAAAGACTTAATGCGGAAACGCCAAAACCAAGGCCTAGGCGCTTCCAACGAAGAAGAAGGGTGATTGAAGACGGAGAATTTCCGAGGGTCACCACCAACATGACGAGCAAAGGGACATCGGCACGAGAAGATTTCGAGTCGATTCTGAAAGCTTCCCGACCTAGAACCCGTCTGCAGTCCGGAACCATAGAGCGAGCAACTTATGGTAGGATTCGGACAAGACGCCCTTCAGAAGATGAAGAATCTGATGCCGGCTCCGCGGTGGCATCAGATAATACAGTATCCAGCGAGGGACAACCCCGCGAGGCCCTGATGATAAGTGCGGAGCAGATGGCCAAGATGCTTGAAGACGCTTTGGCTAAGCAGAAAGAAAGTTTCAAATTTGAGATGGAGATGGCCATGCAGCAGATGAGAGAAATGCATGACCAACAGATCCAAGCATTGGCGAACCAACAAGGCGAGCAGAATCATCGTAACCCGATTAATGTGGAAGATGAGGATACAAATGCTCGTAACACCAATGATCCTCCCGTCAACGCAGGGGGTGGTAATGAGAATGCTGGCGAAGAAACCGGCGAAAACCTGAAGATCAAGAACCTCGAGAGCAAAATCAACACACTAATTTCCGCTCAAGAGACGAAGAAAACAGGCATTCCTTGCCCATACCCAAGAGAATGGGAATCGATCCCATATCCGGCGAAGTTTAATCTAATTAACTTCACGCCGTTTAATGGGATGGGTTCACCTACCCAGCATTTGATTTACTTCAAATCGCATTTGGGGGTGATCTCTGGTAATGAGCCTCTGAT